TAAGAAATTCTTCGGCTGTGAGATCCGGCGTGGCCGAGAATAAGGTTTAGGGGTTGAGAATAATCCTAAACGCTAAGCCCTAACTAAAATCACAATCCCTAAAATCTTAAATCCCATCACACCAGACCCCAAATCCAATTCTAATCTATTTTCATTAATAGATTTTTTATACTAATATTTATAAATAATTCAAAAAAATATCCTTATATTCATAGCCCGAATTCCTAGATAATATCGATGAAAAATATATTCGTAGATTTAATTATTCAATTTTCAATTAATAAATAACCTTTTATATATAATATAATATAATATCTCGTTACCAATATATATATAATCAAATATATCTTTATTTATTCATCTTTAGAAAAGAAGAATTTTTATAATTAATTTTTGAATGTAAATAAATAGAAATTCTATATTTTCAAAATTCAAAAATACTCACGAAATATATAAATATATCTTCAATTAGTATAATATTAAATTCTTATTAAGAAATAAGAAGATAGAAAATCTAGAAAGATAATATAATTTCAAATATAAATTATTAAAAATAATATATATTAGAAATCAATAATAATCAATATTTATTTAGGAAATTAATTTTTAATCTCTGTTTTCTAATCTCTAGCTCTTATTTAGCCCTTGACCTCTAATTTTTATCCGGGCCTCCCCCCCGCCCCCCATTATTCTAGAAACTTTTTTCCAAAAGAAAAATTTTCCAGAACAATTTTTATCCATATTTATTTTATCTATAATTTTAATTTCAATTTTTAAATAAAATTAAGTATTTTTTCATTATTAAATACAATAATCCATCATTTAAGAATAAATTCAATCTAAATGTTCTAGTTTTTCTGCTTCTAGGTGAATTGGTAGATCTATGTTAAAAAAATTCATATGAGATAGACATATAATCTAATTAAATGAATGTGGCTTCGAATCATATATATATATTATAATTTCGTCTTGTCCTGATTCCACAATGAGAAAAGTTGAAGAATTGTTGAATGTGATTGAAATTTTCTTTTTTCCGATATTTTCATGCTATATATAAATTTTCTTATCTCCAAGCGTTTTGAACCCTACTGAGATCATTGTAATAAATATCGGACGTTTTCAAGGATCGTTCCGCACAAGATCGATAAATCTGTACAATCGTTTGTGTCACATAAAAGATCGGGCCGCACAAGACGATAAGTCTGCACAATCGCTGGTGTCACATAGCCCGACCCCCGACAGATACATCATCGGGTGCGCCGGGAGGGTAAAAAGTCTGGTGAGTTGAAGCCTCAATGGCTACGCCCACCATGGTCTATTGCATCATCACGAGTTCTTTCGTCTAGCGCTTCATCTTGGACCAAGCGCCCCTGGTAAGATCCCCCAGCTTGTAACTTTCTCCCCCCCTTGCCTCACGCCCTGCTCGCATGAGGCCACGGGTGAAGTCACCAAATCGATAGCCGCCTCCACTGCCTTGGCTTTCCTCGTGGCTTTCTGCCCTGGTGGCCTCGCGCACCTCCCTTCCTTCGGCGAGGGTCTGACAGATCGACTGTTGAAAAGCAGAGGCACGGCGACCAGCGCTCTCAGAGGCCTTACGCCCAGCAGCTGCTCCACCCACCATTCCAGCGGTAACGCCTGCCGGGCCGAGGGGGGCAAGTAGCACCCCGCCTACAGACGCCCCGACTGTGGACGAGGCTGCTCGTGTTTCGTAAACATGTTCTGCAGCTGTTGAAACCGTGCCCTGCACTCCACGCTCCCAAGACAGCGAGGCCAAGCCGCGTGTAAGATCACCAAACTGGTACTTCTCACTGCCCCGCAGCTTGCGTCCCTTCTCCAGAGACGAGCTGGTTGCAGAAGCGACTGCCTTTGCCAAAGTGCCGGCCAGTGCTCCTTGAGGAACCGCCGTGCCACCAAAACGCAGAAAGGCTAGCGAAGTGCCAGCGGACGAGATTGTCCTGTCGAAGAGGCTCAGCCCTGCAATGGACGCGTTGCAGAACAGCTTCGGCAAAGCAGTCGCGGCTTGGGCCATGTAGTGACTGGCCAGCTTCTGCATGAGCTCAGTCCAAGATGCTTCTGTGCTCTGCTGAAAATCTTTGAAGTGAATGTCTGCTTTTTCCAGTCTTGCCAGAACTCCGCGATGCACCGAAAAGTCTGCAGCATTTAAGACGAAAGGATGGACGTGAACAGTGAAGCTACAGATCTGAGCAGGTTTTTCAAAAAGCACTACCACGGGCAGTGGACGGTTCTGCAAGTCTTGAAGGAGAGCAGTCACCGGTGGCTCCATCCCACGAACAATGCTCCCTGCAAGCCACCGCACTGGACCCTCCGCCGTTGCAACGGTCTGTGTGGCCTCGATCGACAGTCCAAAGGGCCTTTCCTCCAGGAAGACAGGCTCGATAAAGAATGCAGCTTGGGCATGGTCGTAAGCATATTGCATTGCCAGTCGACAACTTTGAAGAAAGGCTTCCGTGGTGTTCAAGCTGATCAACTCCAGACGGCAGTCCAGGGTGACTGCCCTGTGTTCACACTGCGTGTGCTCGCGATAGATGCACTTCAACGACGGACAGCAAACAGCTCCATCGTCAGACTCGGGCTCACGACAGTATAGCTCACAGTCTATCTGAACTTCAAAGCCCTCGAGAAAACTCGCGCTGACCACCGGTTTGACTACTGTCAGACTGCCACGCTCCTTCTTGGCGGCTGCTACACGCATGCAAACTTGTTCCGCTTGGATCCAGACAGCGCTTTGCTGCATGAAGCCTATCACCACACCGTCGCAAAGAAATTCGCAGTCAAGATCTATGTCCTCGTCAGACAAGCTTAGTTTGATTGTTCGGACTTGCAGCTCGATCTCAGTGGGCGGCCCCATCTGCGACTGTGGAGAACCTGTAATACCTGTAAAATTGTAGATAGTCTTGACAAGCCGCACGATGCTCACAAGATCTCGGATGTCACAGTGACCGCACATGAGATCTGATGCGGCCAACAGTTTGTCCGATCTTCGAAGGTGTAAATCGAACTCATCGATCACGTTATCCCCATCTAGAAGCAGATTTGATCGCAGGGAGCAGTCACCACCTATATCAAACACAAATAAGGCTTCTAGGAGAAGCATGCGGGAATGCCAAGGCTCCCCAATTTCAATGGACAGCGGCATGTGCAGGGAAACCCGCCAGTCGACGATGTCGGAGGCGGAAGGTTCGTAAGGTGCGCTCGTTCCGAGGGCCTGTGCCCAGAGGCCAAAGCGCAAAAGCGAAGGGGTGACTCGAAGGTCCAGTTGCGGACTCTGTACCGACAGGATCTTCTCGCACGATTCTGCTTTTATAGCAAAATCACTCGTGCCCGCCATCCCACCAATTCGAACTTTCCGCTCTGCCCCTGCACACTCCAACAGGGCAAAGCGAGTCAGATGCATGTCGATGTTCCAAAAGTCTTGCTCATGAAGACGGAAACTCATGTGGCCGCTGAGATCGACTTCCAGAGAATCGTCAAACGCTATGACGACAGACGGGATGTTCAAGGCAAAAATAAAGTCTGCTTCGCCCACGGGAGATTCTTCCATGGACTTCTGCACTTCCATCGGAAGCTTCCAGGCCTCTTCGCTTTGTTCTTCCTGTCCCCAAGACCTCAGCCAAGCAGACCAGGATTGCCGTGGCCGCGGTCTCTCCATGCAGTCGACGACTTCGAGAAACTCATCGGAATCACAGTCTTTGAAATCTCTCAGGTCCTGAAAGTTGCGGAGCACAGTGCAAAGGCACTCGAGCTGCGCATGCGTCCAGTGAACATGAACTGCCTCAAGGTCAATCTGCAAATCCAGGCCACGCAGGTCTACAAAGCGCTGTCCTGCGAAACGCAGCGCACGCCCACGCGGCGAGGCCCGCAGAAAGATAGGCGCAGGCGGAGGCAAGCATGTGCTGCGGGAGTCTGTGGCGTCGGAGTCTGGAGTCTCGGCTGGTCCGAGGCACAGCTCGAGCTCTTCGAGCTGCACGGCTTGCTCACCGGCTTTGACAGCAGCAACCGACAAACGCTTGAACGAAGCACCAGCCACTGCTTCGAGTCCTGTGATGCTTATGCGGCAGCTGCTGATGGTGAGGTCCAGCTGATCCACTAGCCGCCGCTTCAGCCTGCCGAAGAATCCAGGCTCCGCCGAAAGGGAGACTGACTTGGATTTTCGGAGTCTTCCGACTCCGTCAGACATATCTGAATGTTGACGTCAGTGACATTGAGGACCACCGGCTGCCTCAAGAGCTCGGACCAGGACCATCGTGCCGAGATGCAGCCGACATCTCCGGAAACTGAAGCTGGCCCTGCTCGTTGTTTACGCAGCTTCACCGCAGTCAGGGACAGCTGTCCGGAAAGGTCAAGCTCGTGCTCGACAACCTCTAGGTAGTGGCCCAAGGCCTGACGCAAGAGGGGACCCAACATCTGCCTCGTTGCCATGATGCCCTAAAGAGCAGAGCAAGATAACGGCTAAAACTTGGCTTCCGACACGTACCTTGAAAAACAAGTTGCTGCGTCTAGGTGCACTCACCACTCACTCAATTCGTGGTTAACGTCTGTTGCAGATGCAGCGAACCCAGAAAGCAGATCCAATCTGAAATGCACTAGACTTCGAAAGTCTTCCCACCCCCCAAAACAGGCAGCATGAAAGCTTTGGGTAGTTGGAGCAGGTGAATCATAGTGGAGGGTGTTCGCCGGGTCCTGAGGTCCCTGATACCAACTTGATCTGCCGTTTCCTCCAATGTTTTAGACGGAGCAAGATAGATCCCACTTTCGATGTAGACGTGGCAGAAACAGCATTTTCGGACTGTTCAAAGATCGCCCGCAAAGAGGGTTAAAGAGGTTTATCTCCGGAATCCTGCGGCGAGAATTCCCGCCCTGAGTCCCAAGCTTCGTCTGCTCGAGGTGGTCTGCGCTTTTTTTCTGGCGGCCACCGACATTTGCAGATTCTGCCGCCATGCAGCCATCTGCTCCACCCTGGCAGCCTTGTGCTGCTGCAGTCATGCAATCGCCGCTCCTGCTGCAATGTGTTGTGCACGTGCGTGTGCCTACTATACACAGATCACCACCAGCAAGAATTGCAAACGAGGGCGAAGCGGGCGAAGTGTAAAATCAAACAACTTCACTGGGGATGACGGCGGGGCGGAAGGGTCTCTTGCCTCAAGCCTCGGGCACGACTGGAGTTCCGGGTGCAAGTTCTTCTGGGAACATGAACGAGAAACGTGGCCTCCCGTGAAGACATCATCACCAGAGTCTGGCTCCACCTGAATCGGAAGGCTTGACTGTGACAGGTTTTCCGGGGAGCAGGCTGTAGAAAATTCGCAGGACTCGGACGACATGGTGGCAGGGTCAGCACACTCATCGGAGCTTTCTTGCACGAAGGGGCTCCTCGTCACCTTCTGCATTGAACTCCCGCACGAAGACCTAGATTTTAGGTTGCATCGCACATCGCAGAGACAAGGACTCGCCGCTTAGACAAAGTGGTCATCGAGGCCACAGTCTGCGGTTGCATCAACACATGGGGCCTTCGGCAGCCAGCTGCCACGCACCGGGCCTCCACATGCTTGCTTGCCGGTCTTTCTAGAACGTAGCGCAAACGCAGACAGATGCAACACGGTTTCAGACATACTGAGTTATACTGAGTTGGCAGTTTAATGCCTGCAGTCCCATTGGAACTTTACTTCCCACACAAGTTGTTGGAAACTTATCCCCCCTGAATCTGCTCAGCAAAAACAAATAGTACCCCCACCTCCTACTACAATGTCCGCGATGACCTACTGAACCATGACCACCCCTACCGGCTGCACAACGGCTTGTTTTGCCATCTTCACCCTGCCCTGTTTTCGAGAAGTGTGCCTTCCAACAGCGTGCCTCAAAGTCGCGCAGTGAGTGTGTTAAAGTTGCAGTCTGGTCGAAGAAAGTTGAAGTCGTCAGTGGGTATCCACTTCGTGAATGTGCAGCTTGTGTTTGCAAAACCAACAAACTCTCCAATCTGTTGCCTGCAGGCTGTGAAGGCTTGGCGGTGGCGCTCGGGACCTCGGCAGAGTGTGAGTGCAAGCATGCCTGCCAGCTGTATTCCTTTCATTTGTGAGGGCTGACACTCTTGGACTTGGAGGACCCTGAATTATGGGCACAAACACGAGCTACGGTGCTAGGCCAGTAGCAGTTTTCCATCACGAGCAGCTGGCATGCTAAGGAACAGACTTTGGTCGATATCTGGCCTTGTATCATGCCACAATACAAATTTCACCATCCTTCTCGCTGATGTTCCGCTGAAGTGGACCACGGCCCTCTGTTCTCTTGGAGCTTGGCCTCTCGATGAAGTTGCTGCAGGGGTGACCTTCATTGCCTCCAGGGCTTTCGATCTACCAGCAGATCATGTAGATTCCATCCGTGCCTGCAGGATAGCTTGCTGAATGGCGGACGGATCTTTTTGCCCCTGGCATTCCTGGCCGAGTCATGTAGTGCATGCTGCTACAAGTACAACACTTTATGGCAGAGGACCTGAGCAGCCCAAGCCACCAAGCGCTCCCGGTACTCTGGCTGTGCCTGCGCGATTCCAGTTACAATGCATTTCGTGACCTTTCTACTCTCAGCATCCCACAAGTGCGACCCGACATGCTTCAAAGGCCGCATCGTTAGAGCGCTACATCGCCATGTAGGATCCCAAGTGCAGCGACTGGCATCAACCACAATCGAAGGCATCCTGAAAAATGCCAGCGCTGCGCACATTCGGATTCGTGCACGGAAGCCTGCGAAGTATGCAATTGTGTTTGCTTTCGATACCCTGCGGTCAGAACAGGTCTAGCCTACGAGAAGTAACGGAATCCCCGTCCCCGACTGGATGTCATCTGACATGGTCGTCCCACGTGGGCCGGAAAAGCCAAAGAAACGAAAATGGCATGGCGTGGCACTTCCACCCTTTCAACAACTCTACTGTGCAGCAGATTGGGTTAGTTCATGAAAGTCAAGCCTGACTCTGTCACTACGCTGTGGGGACGGGACTTCCATAGTGCCATCACGGAGCCTGGTCAAAATGGCCAAAGCTCCGTGATGCTCTTATCTTGAGCGATGAGATAAAAAACTTTCAGGGCGATGGATCAACAAAGGCATCGTCACCTTTGCTAGGCTGAGGCCACTCCAGAGAGCCCACATGTCATGTCGCCTTTCTCTGAAATGCACGAGCTCGCCGAAACACCGTCACAGTCTCTAGAGATGAGAAAATGCAGAACGGCACTGGAGTAGCACGGAAAGACAATTTTGGAAAGCGTCGCTGAAGTGCTTGGGGGTGTTCGGGTTTTATGAACCAGTTTCCAAACTTGCCCGATAAGTGCACATAACTGCTGGAAATTGGATCTTCGCCAGCACATGTTGCGATGTGTGTGCTCCCCAAGGTTGTAGATCAAGGCATCCTTCCCGTGTCTTCCAATACATATGTTCCACCACCATGAGGAGCGCATCCAGGACTGACGACCAGCAGGAAGAGGATGCACGTTCATCGTGCCGGTCAGATAGGCAGCTTCTTCTTGACAAATTAGCTGAGCTTTCTGTGACTTAGTGCTCCTACCGGTGAATCTGAAGTCAGTCAGGGTTGTCATTTCGACAAGCAGAATGCTGATCACATAAACCGTGGCATCCTTCTTTCGGTCGGCCCCCAGCAAGCATGCATCCAGGTGGTAACACCACCCGGCGATAACACAGCTCTACAGTTGCAGAACATAAGATCGTAGGGCACGTTCGTGAACTGCAGAGCATGTGCGTTGAGTATTCCACATGCATGCTGCCCATCAACATTTAAGAATTTTCCGGTGCGATACTATTATGTTGCACTTAGCACCTGTTCTCTTGAACGACAGGCAGGGAGAACTCGGCGCTCGCTCAGTTTCGTCTCTCTGTATGTTGGTGTGTAGCAGGACAGGTCCCGGGTTTCGAGACAAGCACAGGCTCTGCCAGGCTCGTAGTTGAGTCGGGCGCCTGCGCCTACAAAGAGAAACGAAGAGCAACTGCTCAGGGAGCTCTTGTGAATCAAACCTTGGTGCTGTACGTCTCGTGCCAACGATTTCGCGAACTGGACTAAGATTTACGGCAGACTGGATGGATGCATCATGGGCATTCAAGTGACTCGGTGGATGATGCGCTTGGGAGGTACCAGGCCAGAGCCAAACTGCAGGCCTGCACAGCCAAGGCGCAGGGAGGCAATGCACTTCTGGCTTAATTGATTACTCCTTAGTATTATTATTATTGTTGTTATGACTATTAGTATTAGAACTGCTACTGGGTAGGCAAGCTGTGCCTTCACAGACTCCTGGCAGGGAGGTTGCCTGTTGAGCAAGTTGTCGGTTGTCCTGCGTGCAGGAGTCTGGTCTTCAACCCCATGCTGATCTACAGCGAAACACAACGAACAGTTCTCCAATATGCACCAACCGTATTGGACACGTCTAGTACGCAAACAAAGACACCCGTACGTGTGTTCATAAACGTATACAGTAGTCTCTGTCTCCATGAGTATGGCATTATTAGGATTCCTGGTCCTGGACGTGCCGGCTCAGGGTCCTGAAACTCTGATCTTCGTCTCTCAGCCTGACGGAAGAAGCATGCTGAGGCTGTAGGCCGTGCCCCAAGCAGTGAGTCGAAAAAGATAGAAATAGTGCCAGCTGAAACCCATGCCATATCTTTGACTGCCGAGGGTCTCCGTCTCCCCCTGTCTTGATCCGGCCTCCCCATCCATGAGACACCTGAGCATCGCAACAAGCAACAGAAAACTGCATCACTGTGCTTTCCTGCTGTCCAAGGTGCTTGAGCAGATGCTCTGCTCGGCTTAGAACATAGCCCTCACTTCCTATTGGCTCCTCCTTCGCTTCCACGGCAGGCACCTGCGGAAGGCATCCCTGTTAAGGCAGACCCGATTCTTCCCCCGAACACACCTCACGAGATTCTAGACAAGGATCAGGAACCGAACCTCGGGAGCCTGGGTGGTGGAACCAGATGAGCAAGCTTCGTGTTTCTTTCTAAGCCTGCTCGGCCTGCTCTTAGATATCTGCCAAGCGCAGCCCCTAGAACAGTAGGCCAATGCCCACCTCCGTCTGGTCCCGGACTCGGTCACTTGATGGGGAGTCCCAGTTCGAGTCCTTCCGGCATTCCGTGCTGGAAGCTCGGAGTATGTATTCATTTTGCCACCACGTCTGCATAGTGTTGCTGCATATGTATGTATGTATGTATGACCGAATGTATGTATTCATGTATGTATGTGTATATATATATATATACATATTTGTATTATACATGTGCAGCTATACACCTACTATAGATACATGCATACGCACATACATACTGACATGGCACCTCGCCCAAAGCACTATCTATCCTTGTACAGTTCCTTCGGGTCCTATCACAAGCAGGGACCACGCCGTGGTCGGTCAAAGTGAAGCTCAGTGTGCCCGAAAGTGTTACTGCGGCGTGGGCGGAGGGCGGCCCACATTGAATTCTCAGTGTGGTGCATGAAAATTTCAAGATCTGCCCCGGTACATCACATTGCCATTTCAGTGAGACTGATGTTCTTGAAACTGGCTCTCCGCCCTCCCAAAGTCTGCTCTGGGAATGCAAGCAACCAACGCGGTCCTGTAGCTCAACAGTTCACTTTAGTTATGAACAGTTTCAACATTGGCCAAGTTGCAGCGTCATGCCCTCAGGGATAATACAATCAAATTGTCAAAGTAAGCAGCAATGGCTCGACGTACGGGTCCTGTACATACGTTTAACGCACACCAAGTTTCACCAAACCCCGAGTGCGCACTTATTGACGCTGTTGCCGTATTGCAAAAGGTGCCTTTTTGTTGGACAATGTGCAAGGATGATGGTAGAGAACAGCGCGAGGGTAGGTGCTTTTTTCATTTTGTTTACCTCAGCACCACCTTCCGGGCTAGTCGCAAAAAAACACACATGTCTGTAGGGCAGATCCTCTGTATTTGTGAATCTGTTAACATACTGCATAAACGGTCACAGAAGAAGTGTGGTTGCAGGGATCAATACCTTTGTGCATCAAAAGGGATTGACAATTCCCTTTCTCTCCGGAAACCTTGCCTAATCCAACTGTTCTATGGCTCAATACAGCGCTCATGCGTAGTAGCCTGCACAGAGAATCTTTAGGATGCGCAGTCGCGGCATACACTGAGGACGACTGTGGCAATCATAGAAACACAAAGGCTTCAATATGAGGGTCCGACTGCCCAAAACGTATGGATTGCAGCGTGCATGGAATTACATCAGGAGCTGGAAAGGTCATCGCAAAACACGTGGGGGTTTGAAGATTATTTAAACACTTGTATTTTAAGAGGCTTCTTTAACAGGTTACGCGATTCCTCTTGGTTTAGAGAACAAGGATTGTAGGCGCTGCAACCTAGACCGATTTCGGGCTGCACATTCGGGATTACAAAAGGGAATGGCTATACCATAAACACTGAAGCGGCACGAAAAGGTGAGACATGGATCAGAACGGGAATCTAGCCGGTACTTCTAGTAGGACTGTTGGTAACATGTAGCGACTTGAAAAGTCAAAGCTGTCTACATCTAGTCGTTTCGGGGTGTGGGTTCGTAGCTTAACAGTCCATAAACTGAGTGTCTGTGCAGTTTGTGGGTACCTGCTTATAGGCCTGCATCACATAAGGGTCGCATGACAGGATAAGCGGCACTCGAACAGTATACTTCGGTGCCTGTTGAGCTGGTGGGGAAGGTTGGCATATGTGCTACCCTTCGTCTTCCCAAGCACATACACACAACACACACACACACAGAGTCTAAAACAAGCAATGCCGTCAGGCCTCCTTCACCCTCAACAGCAAATTTAGATCGGATTTGAGGTGTCCGCAGAACATCACGAGCAAAACTTTGCGCTATCATCCTAGGCTGTTCCGGACTGAGCCTTTAGCTGTCTTCACGGTACCCTAAACATTGGTAGTATGACCTTCTGGGTACGGTCCGAAGTCTTCGAGTGCTGCTCTTGTGGTGTGAGTGACAGGGGTGACGTGCAATCGATTCCGACGACTGTTGTTGATAATCCATTCCGACGGCCCAATAAGGTTTTGGCGTATATACTATATACGTATGTACATGTGTGTATGTGCATACATACCTGTATGATCCTGTATGTTAGACACACCTACAGATATGACAACTCCAAATGCAGGCTCTCTGCCTCTGTCCGGGAATCCATGGCATCTGAGATCCTGCCCTCCTTCAAAGGGGCCTGAGCGGTCAGAGTGACAAGGGCAGCACTGATGCGCTTAAAAGCTTATGGAGGGAGGCTTGATCGCAAAAATCAAGGCCATGCTTGATGCAGATCAAGCGTAGGAGGAGCATTATGACCACTGGGTCTTCAGCAGCCCAAACTCCAATGAGTTGCACAGGACAGTGGTGTCCGCAAAGTTTAGACTAGGCCAGGCTCGGTTCCATCCCACCACGAGATCTTCATGTTCTCGAATGCCAGGCGCTCCAATGCCTCAGTCTTCAGTTGCCCCTGCTCAGCTCTCGCCCCAAAGCCCGTGTAGTCTGCATCGCATGCGGCCACCTCACCACATCTCAGCCGTATCATTCGCGCTGTGTGGCCGCAGGAAATTCTGAAGCAACCCGCTTGGCACTTCCAGCAATGTGAAATTCAACACCTCGAATGATGTGTGCTTCACAGCGGCGATGGTCCGTCGCAGCTCGCTGCGCCCAGGGGGTGGTTGCCGTGCGAAGCGCAACGCGGCTGTCGCCTCTGCCACGGTTTCCTGGCCAGTGATTCTTGAGAAGTCTTCAGGCTCGGGGACTCCGGCCAGTGCCGACTCACTCCTCTTCGGTTAAACTCGTTGGTCTTGCTGGGCCTCGGCTTCGGCGACGGCCTTTGGCTGCCAGCGAAAGCCCGCGTCGCGCACGCGGACGTCGCCCTCACTGGCAGACTTGTTACGGAATGGCGGATTTGTTCTCGAATCTTCCATATGAAGCCATTCCCAAGAATGGATGCATGCCCTCTGCCTTTTGTCTGCGGAACTGCAGGCTAGCCAGTCCTCGGCTTGTGCCCGCTTCCAGGATGGGACGCCTCGATGTCGGCGCATTCGCCAGGCGATCTGACAGGAGCTGCCTGCAGAGATTCTCCAGAACACGCTATGCTGATGGAAGATGGGATCGCTGTATGCTGTACGGAACGCAGTGCTCGTGAAAGTTTGTTGGCGGCTTGGTCCAAGTGCTTTCCTGATGTTCGTTTCTACTCGAAGGCAGACGCCTCTGGCCAGAGCATTCTTTATCGTTCTACGTTGAGGGGTCTAGCATATCTCGGAGCGGGAGCTTTCTTGCCGCCAACATCGACTGGAGGGGAGATGGGCCGAGGATCGGCTTTACACAAGAGAGCCAACCAGGGTGTCAAAGTACCTGTGCAAGTGACAAGAAACAGCAAATGATCGGCGCATGCCTCAAATCGATGGGAACAAGAACGACTCTTCCTCTTGATGCTCAAATAGCAACGGTAAGGCAGATGTTGTCAGGCACGAGAAACTCAGACATCGTAAGTTCTTATGCCATGGAACATGTTGATGAGCCAGTGCGACACAACGATGAGTTTGCTGTCTTTCACTGCAAACCATGTGAATCAATAATGGGGAGCGCACCATGAGATCATCGCTTTCTAGGTGCGGTGCCAGGCCCATGGCAACCTCAGAGGCGGATGCGGAGAACCAGAGGAATGCTTCAGAATTCAGAATCCTTGGCTTGACCCAAAACGTCAACGAGTGTAAAGCCAACTGACCGGGCATGCTTTGCCAAATGCTACGCCTCAACCGTCATGAACCGTTCTACAAGCCATACAACCCGTGGTTGATGGAAGCCGACAAGCTGTGCTGTGCTTTGAATGAGCTTCCGGCGTCTGCTAGGCAGGTGGCCACCAGTTGACAGTTCTGCAATTCAACGCGATGTGACTCAAATGCTCAACAGATCTGGATATCCGCTCACTGCTGATGCGTCGACCACTACTTCGTTGGGGAGTCAGCCAAGCAACAAAGCGACGCAGTGAAGCCGACAGCCACAGGAACGAGCAAAACACTGAGGCGAGAACAAAGAAGTCAATTCGAACACCCGAATGTTATCCTGCAAAGATGTCCTGAAGATCGTCATCAGCTTTCGCCGCAGCAACCTTTGCCGCCAATGATGGACAAACGCAAACTCCCATCGCAGATCACACATCCTACCGAGGTCAAGGCAAAATGCTTAATGCCAAGGAGTCGGAGACGTTCCTGGCTCTGCAAATGGAATGCTTCCAGTTGCATGGCCACTGCAACCCAGGGCATCCACCGTCTGCTTGGAAGGCGCCGTGCCTGGACACAAATTCAAGGCCTCGCAAGCTTCGAGTTGTATGCGAGCGGCCTTCTTGAAGTCTCACAGGCGGCTGGAACTGGTGGCGCCCTCCCAGGACGAGATCATGGCAAGGGGTCGCAGCACTCAACACGAGCCTTGAGTGCCGGTGGCCGGGCGCTGCCTCGTTCTGATTTATTTATGGCTTTGAATAGAGGTCATAAATGCCCAATGTGAGGTTCGCGCGCAGTGCCCGGTCGTGATCCCGCGGTGGACGGGCGCCCTGCATCCTTCACCTCAGCAAGAGCAGAGTCGCCCAGAACTTCCAGTGTCCAGCAATCCACATTCTCCTAGCACGGCCTCGCCGAGCAGGTCCACCCAATCCGGAAAGAAGCGCATCAAATCACAGAAGCATCTGCTAAGCTAAGCAACACTGTGTTTTCTCCACCGCGCAAGGGTCCCCTGCTGCCCCTGTCTTTTCTTCGAAGCCAGCTTTGATTGAACCAATGTTGGACCGTGTCAATCTCCGGCCTCCGGCTGCTGTTCCACGAGCCTCTGATTTGATATTGAGAGCAGTCATAATAATAATAACAAAAATAATAATATCAACAAAAAAACAATAATAAGAATAACAATAGTAAATAATGGACCAAGGTCCCGCACCTTGATACCACAGTACTCAGCAGTCAGTGAGGTTTCGCCAAAGAAATGATGGAAGAAAGGGGCTTTGTACCAGGTGGTCTCGGTTGTTTGCTGCATCTCCGCCTAGGTGTAGGGCCTGGCCACTCCCCGCGGCACTACCACAATCAAAGCTTTCAACATGAGCATCAACGTCGTGTGTAGTCAGCGGTTGAGCAGGCTCATTCCATGTCGACTGAGCCCCATCGACCACACATGTCCTACTTAGCGATTGAGCAGGCTCACTCCATGTTGACTGAGCCCCCTCGGCCGCACATGCTCTTCTTGAAGCTTTTTATCAAGTGTAGGAATCTTAACATGGCTTCCAAGAGCATCCTCTTCTTCGATGCCTACACGCCTCAGTGGCCACAGATCGCCACAGCGAAGTGCGTTCTGCTCTACCAGACGGAGGCCGAGGCACTGGCCGTGGCCGCCTTCCGGGCCGAGTGTGAAGCCACGGAGCCCACGACATCCTGCACGTGGGACTTCCACTGACGTCTCACCAAGGGCGTTCGGCGCACGGCTCTTCCTCCAGAGCCGCCAGCACCCAAGCGGCTCCTCGCTCTGGCCAGGCCTGGAGGAGCAGTTGGGACTCTGCAGAATCCTCCCAAACCAGTTCCGCCCCGAGCCTCCCCTCCTGTCGCACCTTGGGCTGGCGGCACCTTCAGACACGGCGATCAAAGGCTTAGTTAGTTCGCGGCTGGAGCCGAGGAGGTCGCCGGACTGACACTGCGCAAGCCCTGGCGACCTAGCTTCAAGTTCTTTGCGTGGGAGGAGCAGACCACGGCCGTGGAGGATCGAGGTTCCAGCCACGTGTCAGTACCTCTGCCAGCTTCCTTTGCCTCAGTATCAGTACACCACCACATCCTCATCCACCGTGGCATCCACTCAACTGTGGTACTCCGGTCTTCTGCAGGCTCGGGGACGAACAGCGGCAAAGTTGGGCTTCCGCCCTGCAATCGGCGAAGGTGCTCCGCTCTGCGCTCACATCCCAAGCGAGCTCGGGGCCTCCATGCGCTCCGAGGCCTCGGGTCCGCAGCGTTAAGATTTAGAGTTCAGGAAGTATGTGTGCACCAGAAAATCCTGTAGACAGATACAACTCCCATAAGCCCTGAACACGAACAGCTAGCAGCACAGTTTTTCCTGGAAGCTGTCTGGAACCGCACGATGTCACTGGATGACAGGATCTCGGAAATATCAACCTGAGAAGCCGACGTCATCCCACCATGCATTGGTGCAGGTCGCGCCGACCTCATTGGCAACAAGATTCAAATTTGACGCTTCCGTTTGGCCGTTTAGTTTTTCGAGTAGAAGTACAGCCAAGGCCGGAGAGGGGTGTTCGGCTAGGGCTCAGGCCAAACTTTGCAGTCGGCTTTTCAATTCATCAGCCTCGGTTCTGCGGCTCCAGATGTCGCGACTTGGAGTTGCCGTGTCAGGAACTGTTTCCAAGCCCGGCACGCTGGTAGTGGCACTGAGTGTGGCAGCATGCCTTACTGTAGCGGACTGCAGATCGTGTTTGCATCGACTGCATTGTGGGCATATCGTGGTCGTAAAGTTCTGCAATGAGTGGAGTCGAAGAGCGCCGCCAGCCAGGCATCGATGAGAGACTGTGCCTGGTACGAACCGCAGCGCCCTATTACACGCACCCCATGTGGGGCCCAATCCCTTCACACCCAAGGCAGGGAGGCGATATGGAAGCTCGCGGACATGAAACTTCGTGCAGGCACCAGCCTGTCGCTCAGCTGTCGTTCTAGAACGCCGCTCACTACAATGCACACGCAAAACCAAGTCCGATTCTGTCCAAATCTAATCACAAAACCGATGTGCAGGCTGCAGAATGCACACGCAAAACCAAGTCCGATTCTGTCCAAATCTAATCACAAAACCGATGTGCAGGCTGCAGCTGGGCAAGATCGCGGTCGCACAGCACTGACAAACTCAGCCAGAACTCAGAATATGTCTGCAAAAGTCGCACTTTGGGCCCTCCACAGCATACTGTACCAAGCCTTTTTGGCAGCGCACGCAACACCACCGCAACCACGATCCCACACACGACCTGAATGGGAATGGCATGTTGCTGCGCATGATGATACATCCTGGCTACAGAACCTGTTCTCTAGATCTGGCCTCATCATCGGCTGATGGCTTCATGCTACAAAGAATCCTAGCATGGTCGGACCGAGTAAGGTTGTCTTGCTCAGCCCATGTTGGGCTGTGATCGACCATAACACGTATGCTGCCTTTACAGATGTAATTTGTCCATGCCTTCTTAGCATGCTCTGGTTCAGTACAACTCGCTTGCTGGTTCGAAGTAGGTCAGAACCTCCAGAATGCACTCAGCTTGAGCTGATCGGCTAGACAGCACAAAACGCCTGCTCCATCGGACACAAGTGCAACCGAACAGGTTCGTCTTATCGACAAATTACTTTTTAACTTTTGAACCGTAAGTCATCTGGCCACGTGGTCTACATATCCGGCTGCCCGCGTGATGCTCAGATCATACAGCGCCTCAGCCACGTTCGCGTTCCAAAATCACAAGACCTCTCGTCATGCAAGATGGACGTGACCTGTACCGGAAGATGTCGCCACTCTTGCGAGGTAGCACCAGTCCTAAGTTCCGGACGCCGTCTTCTCGAGTGCTCGCTTGGCCGCACCTCAGTCGAGGCATCAGGTGGTGGCGAAACAAGATGCGGGGAGAATGGCGGAGCAAACTCAATTTAGCCGGCTTCTCAACGACGATCTGTGTTGAAGTTGTTGAACCATGCACAAGGTCTGGGACCTTCTTGCGAAGCAGAGCTCATGGCTTCAGGAGTCCGAAAAGATTGGAAATTCTTGCTCTGAAGCCTCCGAAGGCCACCCGGTCCCACCAAACCTTACCTTTTGATTCGCTACTAGTAGTGCCAGGCTGATCATAGGTACGACGGCAGACTGCATTACTATAGCTACCTGGCTCGCAACATGATACTGACTGAGTTGTTATGACCGATTACTTTCCTCCCCTACAAAGGTTGCAGAACTTCGAGAAAGTCTGCAAACATATCGTCGGCTTGGATGCCATGCTTTATTATGCTATACTCACTATGCTCATCCTCCCATGCTTCACAGCTGCCAACATTGCAGCCGAGCCACCAGTTCTGCGGCGAGCAGTGTGGGGCACAGGAGTCCAGACAGGCCACGTTCTCCTCCACAAGCCTGAGCGCAGCAGGGCCGAGGCTTCTGACAAAGTCCGAAGCCTTCGTATCCAGCCTCTCGTTGATCAGCCGTTCGGCGGAGCAGAAGATCATTGCCGTTGAGGGCTCCAGCTCTCTGTAGAACGCGGCGGCCTGATTCACACGAACTCGTCAAGTCTTTTCTTCACATCCCCCCGCCTGTCCAAAGATGCCTAATCTCAGCGCCACACCAAGTGCGGCTTCGGTCTGCCTTGAAACTGGAGGTTTGCTCTTGCGAACCGGACCGGGCTCTTACGTCACGCATCGGCGAACTGTCAAGTTGTTGCCGAGTTGCAGCTGTCCCCGGAGCAGCGGAGGATTGACCTCGGCCGGAGGGCTCTGCACCAGACGAGTTGCGGAAGCCTTGACACCTTGTGACGGACTTGCCGCAATAAGCTCCAAGCACCGTGGGACCGCGGCCGTCGGAGGTCCGCAGAACGGCTCCGACCTGGAAGTCTTCTCCCAGGGAGACGATGGAGAGAATCCGAGGCGGCTCTCGCTCTGCCTCCCGGCCTTCCCCGATCCAATGGTCGCAAGAAAGTGGGGAAGTCTGATGGGCAGTCTTCGACCGCGACCTGCCCTAAACCACCCACAAACAGATTCGTCCGCATCCCTCCACCAAGGTTCGAACGAGAGACCACCACACATCGACTTCCCTCGATGCGAATCGAGGCACCGTGACGCACCTCAAGGTATGTGTATTGTTGATTCCGGATGTTTTTTCCGGGTCATGGTTTCCCAGCCTGGGTGTCAGTGTCCACCTCGCCCGAATCCTGAAACCAGATGCCCAACTAGTAACTAGTGAAAGGCTTGATAGTCAGAGCCCTGTCAATTTCGCACGTAATCAAACAAGTTTTGACATCAGGACATACCGCATCCACTGCGTGGTGGCATGCTTGCGGCATTTGGCTGCAGGCTGCAGCCATGCGTTTTGGCAGGGGCTGCGACCTCGAAGTTCGACTGCCCAACAGTCAGCAGCACCACCTGCGCTAGCGTCACATGACATGCCCACGGAAGCGACATGCAAATATACAAATAATGCCAGCAAGTCTTCTTTGAGGGAATGCGGAATACTGGCACGAACATGAACAATAATCGCGAGGCAGCGACTGCTACGTACAGTTCTCAGCACAACAATCGTGAATCACAAGATGATCGCAACCGCACTAATCATAGTAGCTTGGAGCGAAGCATGGTAGCTGAGGCATAATTTCTGCTCACCAACGGTGCAGCCGAAAGCACCCCAACACGGCATCATGGGCAGCATTGGTGCCTCGTTTCTCCTTCAAAGCCTCAGCATTCAGGGCCCCAGTGCTATTGCCGAGCCGTTTCCTGTTTGCCTCGCCTCGGCCCAAATTTGGGAATCCTTCACACCCCGGCGAAAACTATCCTCAAGTTTGAGCATGCAAGGGGATGGAGTTGCCAAGTTAGGGCGCGGAGGGAAGGACTTGAATGTCATGACTCTGCAACTCCCTGGAAATGTCGAAAAACTATCTTCGGCGTGTCCCGAGTCTATGCATGTCTCGGGCTTTAGCGTCTAGTCTTGCAGCAGCAGGAAGTCTACGTCTCAAACCAGAGCACAGACAAGGACCTTGAGCCTTTGACTGCCGTGCCCGATGCATGCTCGACCACCGACACATGCGAGACCAGCTAATTCCCGCCATGGCTGAAATCAGCTCAATGGCCAGTAGGTACTGCTTGCCCAGGTCGCAAGCAGTGACCCCGGCATTGAAGCTAATTTCATCCTGCTGAAGTTTGGCCTCGGGCATTTGTTGAAGCAAGGTAAGGGCTGCGCTCCACTTCCCTGCCCTGCTGCAGCAGGTGATAGCAGAGTTTTGTATGATCTGATTTGGCCAGACTCTGGCTTGCGACATCTCCAGCAACAGCTGTCCTACGACCTGCCAGCGCAGTCTCGCCTCGCAGGCACTTATGGCACTGCCATAGGTGACTTGGTCTGGCAACAACATGCAGTTTCGAAGTAGGGACAGGAGTTGCAATGCAATCGACCAAGAGCCGCTTCTCTCACACGCACCGATTGCACTGTTGAAACTGATCTCATCGGGAATAAGCTTCGTCGCCGACATGTCCATCAAAAGGCACAGGGCCCCTTGCCAATGCCCCGCTTTCTCGCAAGCACTGATAGCACTGTTGTATGTAACCTCGTTGGCTCGAGCCTTCTCGACGGACATGTGCGTCAGCACGTGCACTGCACGCTGCCACTGCCCCCCTTTCTCATAGGCACTGACCAAACTGCTGTAGCTGAATTCGTTTGGAATTATGGTAGCTTGGCGCATTTTGTCAAGTAGATGAAGAGCAACATCCCACTTTCCAGTACAGGCACTAATTGCCGAACTGTAGGCAATCTGATCAGCGTACAGCCTGGAGGACGGAAGGCATGCCAACAAGTAAAGTGCATATTGCCATTGCCTGCCTTTGGCACATGCACTGATCAAGCTGCAGAACGTAATGAGATCAGGGCACAACTCTGCATTGTGCAAACTTGCCAAAAGGCTCAGCGCCTGCTGCCATTCTCCTGCTTTCTCACTTGCACTAATGATACTGTTGTAGGAAATCACATCTGGCCTCATCTGGGCTTCTGACATGCTGGCAAAAAGCACGAGAGCGATTTGCCACTGTCCGCCCTTTTCGCAAGCCGTAATCGCACTGCTAAGGTTTATCTCATTCGGCGGAACACGCGTCGTGCACATGTCTGCTAGAAGTTGGATTGCCCGTATCCACTGCTGAGCCCTGGCACATGAGCTTATGGCTCCACCATAGCTGATGTTGTCTGGCATCCATTCTGATCTCCGTAGCTCCGAAAACAACGAAATCACGTGCTGCCATTGACTGCACTTGCCACACACGTTCATTGCAGCGTTGTACGTGATGATGTTGGGCATAGTCTTCTTATCGGGCATGCCAGCAAGCATCTCGATGGCTGCTTGCCATCGTGCAGTCTTTCCAGATGCCGTAATGGCCTTGTTGTAGACTGATGGCGGCTTCGACAGCGTCGCCTTTTCAGGCATCTGGGCATCGGCAGTCTGCTTCGTGCACGAGCCCGGAATTGATTCTGGCAGTGTCTCGCTCGCGGTCCCTTTGAGCCCTTGCTACTGGGTAGGGCAGGCCTATTGCAAGCAGCCTTGGGCCTTGCAGAAGTCTTCCCCCAGCCTCGTCTGGCCGCCGAGTCTGCGAGACGGCGTAGCCTCGGTGCAACGGAGCTACAGTGGCCCTTGCGGCGCCATGCGCTGCCCAGGAGCAACTGGGCTAAGGTGCGAGCGCAGGGTCAAGCCCAGCAAGAAGTCGTCCGTGTCATCCATCAAGGCCACGTGGAGAATCACTCTCCAGTCGCAGGTCAGAGCCGAAGCGAAGGAGGTGTTGCCCCTGACAGGCCTCCTGGGCCGTAAGGACGTCCAAAGCCAAGGGTGGCGTTCGATCAGCTCCGACCAGCACTCCTCACTTCGAACGCGCTATGTAAATAGGCATATCGAGCTGCACCCCGGACGCGTGCATCTCATGGCTCCGTAGAGCGACTTGTGGGCAAGGGCGGCCGCGAAGAAGAGGCGCCCAGCACCTGAAGTGGAGATGCGCCAGCACAAGGTCGGCAACAGGTCTGGCAGACCACGTGGTTGCAATCTGGAGCATGTGCTTAGACATGATTGGCCGGGAAGTTCTCGTTGGGAGGTCTCAAGCTACCTTTGGAAGCAAGCTGCAGTCCGTGCCTACACTGTGCCTACTGCGGGATGAACGACTAGACAGGCCAAGAACAATACAATCTCGTCGATAAGAATATTCCGTCTGCATGCTGCACGCAGCCAGCCAAGAGAGATCGGACCCATGCCGCCACTACTACTGCCTGCCTAACTGTTTTTCGGCAGATGGTTTCCTCTTCCGAACCTAAACTCAAGTTTCCGCCGGCTTCCTGTCCCAGTCAGCACGGGCACTTGCTAGCACTGGTGTGTTCGCAGTGTAAAGCTAGGGCTGCACCAGCCCCTTATGCTCTGCACACCCTGACGGAAGCCCCAAGCCTAAGGCCATGTTGACACCCCCTAGCAACGTGAATGGTATTGCTGTGCTGGCTTTGAGCTGCCCACCTCCGTCGGCACCCCATTGAGGGCGATGTGGCTGGCCACGACGAGATCCTTAGGGAGAAAGCAGGCCTCGTCTGCCGGAGTCTGCGCGACAAGATTCCGAGGCAGAGCTGCTGGTCAAGCGTCGGGCTCTTGAGCACAAGGACCATGCAAGTCTTCAATGATCCGCCTCATATTGGCAAGACAGCCAGCACCATCTTCCAGCGCTGAAGCAAAAGAACAAATCAACTTCAATCCGGGGAGCTCATCAAAAAAGCCTCTGCGGTACAAAGCTCCGAGGGCTGTGACCGGAATGGGACCACCATGCCTAGATCCACACGACTTTGCCAGTCTAATGTGCAACAGAGTTGGGACCTTTCAGCCTGTCACCAGCCTCTCTGTGTGTGTTTTGCATGCAGCTGGTCTCAACCCGTCTTTCGACAAAGATTCAGTCAGAAGTCATGCCAACGCCAATTGGACTCATGCTGATGTTACGGTAGACGTGCCGAAGAGCTCGCCATAAAGAGATGCGTGGCTGGCAATGACAACCTCAGCGAACAAACGAACAAATGGATGCCCGAGTACGACAGCGCGCTGTCCGGAAACGTGCTGCTCGTGTCTGACTTCATGTCCAGCAACACCAGCCCAGAGATCTGAAGCCTCCAACATGTCAGGTCTGTGCAACGATCAGCTCATCACAACACAGCTTGCTGGCTTCCTCCTCCAGCCTTTTTAGACTGAGACGATCCAAACGCATGATAGTTATTTTCATTTGCGGCACAAGAATGTGCAGCAAGGGAATGCTTCTCTCCTTCCCAGGCAGCCATTCGGTGCCGTTCAGGTCAGATCTGAAGTTGCAAGGCCTGGAGAAAGTCCGACAGCGGCGGAACTTTGCGCCGAAAACCTTCCGCTGCGCAAACGGCTCGGCCCCCGCCAGCCAATGTGTCAAGCATTATGGCATCGTGTGCAGGATGCGAATAGGCGATGGCCTCTAAGAAAGATCTGCGTCTCGGGAAGCTTCTCCAAGTCAAGCACTGCGAGGAGCGGATGAAACCTTAGAGGGCTCTGCAAGTTTTCTGTCAGAAAACTCCAGAATTTCTGGTCCAAGCAATCGCATGTGCCTTGGCCTAAGTCCGAAGCCTCACCCACACGAGAAGATACAGCCGAAACTCAGCAGGGGGCAGGCGCTTGCGATCCATGCAGGCGATGCGGAGCCTCCAGAGCAAACAGATGCAAACAGCATCGTCCTTTTTTGGGCTTGGCCGAAGTCCGGGCGAAACTCCCGGGCGCCCGTCCTGGGCTGCGCTGCCCAAGATCCCACTCCGCAGCGCCTGGCGCCGGCTCGGGCCTCTGCGAAAGCACCGAAGCAGAAATCTGAAATTCGCGTACCTGCACATGTAAAGATCTCCATGTTAGCCCTACTTGAATGAAGAGCTGCGGCTGTGGAATCTGTTTTCCCCTAAGGGCAAGATATACCAAGGCAAAGCTATGATCGCCGGGTGAGCGGGCTGGGTGAAATGTCGATTTCTGAGCCGCTGGCTGAAGAAGACCGAAGGTTCAAGTGCCCGAGGTAACTTATGCTAAACTCCTTTATCATTGCAATACAGACCGGTGTGTTATGTACATGTACACACAACGTCTTGGTCGATCTGTTACGTAGGATTACTGCTATGGCTATGGATTTCTTCAAGTACGCATGCTTAGCTGGCTTAGCTCTCTCTCCGGACTTTACCTCGAGTCCTTGGGTGCCCGGACCCGGCTCACCTGACCCTTCGATCTCATGTGCCTGTCGAGGAGCTCTGAGGGCCACGACGATTCGCTGGGCGCCTTCCGAAGAAGAGAAACACGCTACCCTGCTACGCTCTGCGAGCTAGACGCCCTGTGCGCCTGGCACTCGCCCCGCCCGTGCTGCAAGCCGAAGTGCTGCTGCCGGGGCGGCCAATACCACCACCTGGAGAGCGAAGCTCGAAGGGAGCGTCTCCATAGCTAGTACGGATCACTCAGAAGCCGGCCACTCGACGAGGCAGTCTCTCGCCTTCGGCCAGGAAGGCCTTGACAACAGGATCCTGCAACCAGAGACTGACTGGGTGCTTGGGCAAGGTCGACGTCTCTCCAGTGGCTCCTCCAGTCCTTGCCCGTGGATAAGATCCAACTTGGCCCTGAGCCTCGCCAGTACCGAGCCAGGCTGCGGCTTTGAGCTCAAGAGCAGCTTCTTTGCAGTCACGGAACGTAGGGCTCTCCCTCCATGGCCCATCCATGTCTCGGAGAGCTCCTGATCGGTTGGCTGTCAATCCGTGGTTTGACTCCCGGTCAAGTTCTTGCCGCAGACCATCCTAGAGTCCTATGCCTGTGCATCTCAGTCGGCTGATCCTACCGCGTAGTGTAACATCCCAATCGTTTTTCTCATGGGAACCGATCCAGTCCTGCATGCCGATGGACATAGAAGTGCTGGCTGAACTTGGGCATAAAAATGGCGCCTTCATCTTCCAGGGACGACTGGATAGCATCACCACATCGCGAATAGGAAGCTCAATCTCAAGCCGCCTTGAATACGATCGGCGGGATATGCAGCCAACCTTCGATTCAAGCACAGCGCAGGACCCGAAAGCTAACAAAAGCCATTTTGGGCAAGCTCCCGATCCCAGCCTTCGGAAGGAGATGCTTCCATCTTCTCGGCGGCAAAGCTCTCGACTCGGCTTGGCTTTGCGAGTGCATCTCACATGCCATTGGACCTGACCAGTGTGCACAATCATTCGCTCGTCCCACCGGGCTGTGGCTGTTCCAATTGGGGAGTACACCATGGAACGGAAATCAAGAGGACCAGCAACTGCAGCAGGCGAGAGAATAACCAGGGTCGTCGGATCCTGCACATGTCATCAACCCTACTCTCCCTTGGGGCTGGTGCTCTCACTCTGGGTCGGCCCGGTACAGCCATGGCCACGCTTTACAATATTTTACAAAGGTCTCTCAATGCTTCCCGTATGCTCTCCGCTTGAATCTCCTCCTCAAACTGGAGGGCTGCGCTCAAGGCCTTGGCAATTGCAGGCTGCACCACGATGCCGGAGAATGAAAACCCCACACTACAGGATGCTACGTATTGTTGTCGGCTGGCTACAGTAATGCTGGCTACATGTTTGCACATGGACGGTCCACGAGTTTCAGGATGAAGCCTCCGCAAGGTCGCAGCTTGCGTGGCAGCTTTTCATCGTCACCTGCCGTCGGGGACTCATGCAACACCGTGCACGCTATGGGCACTGCAACCAGCTGCTGATGCGCCGTTTCTGATGCTTTCCAGGTATATACAATGAGCTCGAAGACTTGAGACCAGGCAAGCATCACAGGGAAGATGCTTCCGGCCTCGAAAGAGGATGCAAACGTTCCAAGCTGGCGGTGAACACCTGCTGTCACCCGGATTTAGCCGGATAAGCCGCCTAGATGTGCGAGCTGCAAGCACTCCTCACCTGCCTGTCCGCGTTCCAGATTGATAAGATTCTTAACGTCTCAGCACTGCCCTCGCTGCACTGGCTCCTGTGGCAATGCTGCTCTGGCCTCCGCTGACCCTGAATGCTCGCTGGCTCGTCACCGTGTGCTCGGGTGCAACCTGTCAGCTCGATGAAACCCCTGCAGCACTGCAAGGCACCACAGTCACTACGGCGCTGATGCATCAGGGGCAGTCCACCGCCTCGCCGAGCAAGTACAGCGCCTTCACGGATCGAAGTCAGATCCAATGCCAGCCAGAGAGTTACAAAGCCGATAGGCCTACGCAGACACTCGACAGTGGTAGTGACGGTTAATACTTGTCGCCTTCATGTCCACGAAATTGACGTGTTTTGCAACTTACGATGAAATAGAAAGCCACCTGTCGCGAGAAAGCCTTAATTACGTGTTGATGTCATCCCGACAAGAGAGGACCGGTATGCATTCGTGGCCTGGGCGCCAGCACCCACCAGGCGTCGCAGTGCACTTTCGGAGGTGCCGCGGCCCAGCGGCGCTGCCACAACCACGCGATACTGGACGAGCAGGGAGCATCAATAAGTACAGGCATCAGCTCGTACAGCCGGAGGCCTTCTGATCCCAAAGGTCAGGAAATGCCTGCAGGAGAGACGCCGAGCCTTGGATGATCCAGCCGGCAGATCGGGCATGGTGACAAATAGCCGGCCGAGACACTGCTGAACTGCTGCTGCTATCTCTGCGAAAGTTGTCGGTACGACTGAATCAGAAGGAGGACAAAGGAAAAAGTTCTTGGTGTTGTCGCTGCCGGCGCCACCCCTGTATAGGGCATCCTGCAGTCACAGCAATGCAGCAAGCTGTCCCAAATTGATGGAAACGGTGAAGCTTCTGCCGGCCTTGCCAAATCCGAACGGCAGGGCCTTCGTGCCGAAGCGTGAGGACAGTGCCTCCCGGACATGGGCCTGATGCCAATGGCGAAAACCGGCAAAGGCTCTTGTGTAACAGTTCGTGCGGGATGAGTGAAATAGTGCTTTCGGCTCTGCGTATCTAGGCTTCCTAGTGACCGCCGCGGGCCTTTCTCGCCAGGTGCGCCGAAAGCCAGAGGTCGTCGTGTAGCTGCACAAGGCCAACACACAAACAATCAGCATTGCACTGTCATTCAGCAACCGTCTCGCAGCCCATCAATGAAAACAAGAGTTAAAAACAATTAAATCCGGAGTTAATTGTCCGTCAAGGGCAGGGTCCGAACCCCAGGACCCGAAAAACATTAAA